TATATATATATTTGCTACTCTTTTTCTGTAGATGCTTGCATAGCGCAGTCAGCATAAGAAAGGATAGAAAACACAAGCAATCAAATTCTATTTCCAAATTGAATTTTAAATGCACTCACACACTCGCATTGCCATTGAGTGGGCAGCGGATGGCAAGGAGTAGGAGGGAGGCCAGCTGAAGGGACATAACGACAATATTTGCCATCAAAATCGAAATTGAAGCACTGACAAGGCTAGCTAGCTGGTCTACTTGTTAGCCAGACAAAGTAATCAAAAGCTTGCCAAGCAGCAGAAATAGAAACAGCAATAGCAGGAGCCGCAGGAGCCGCAGGAGCAGCGGGAGCAACAGTAGCAGCATTGCGGTCCGGTAAACAAGCACCGGAAGTCTACGAACAAAAAAGTACGGAAACGCAGCTTGCGATAGTCAACATCAAACAAGCGGCAAGCCGGATAAAGGGGCAAACGAGCCGAACAGTCGAAAGAGGCGTGGCTCATACATAATACATGCCACACGGACACATATAAAACAATTGTGTAACAATCATAGCAACAATCAATCAAGAGTCCGATTGCCACATAGATTTCTTTTGGCGTTGACAAGCTAAATAGTCAAGGTCAACGGCCAAAACCGACCGTACGACCGAACGACCGTACGACCGTACGTCAGTACGAACGACCAACCGGAGATGCCACAAATGTGGCCACCAACCAGCCGTAGCCGTGTCGTAGACAGAGACTGAGACTGAGGACCGAGACTGAGACCGAGGCTTAGACTCTCAAGAAACACAAACTCAAACATACATACACACACACTCACACACACACACACTTACAGACAGAGGCAGTCAGCCAGACGTAGAGACATAGCGACAAGGCTTGCCCGCCCTCGATTTCCGGCCAAATATAGCCCCGCAATTGCAGGAACCCTTGCGCCTTGCGCCTGCGCCTCCTCCTCCCGCCAGTCCGCCGCTAACAGTCGGCGTACAAAAGAACATTTTTGATAAATGGCAGTTGGAGTAAAAAAATTTGCGGCAAGCCAAAAGTAAAAGTTTACGCCAGCTTGCAAAATTGAAAGGCAAAGAAAGGTGGCACAGATAAGGGCCACAAGCAACAACAACAACAACAACAACAACAACAACAACAGCAATAAAACAATAATAACAACAACAACGACAACAACAAAAAGAACAAACAGCAACAACAATAACAACAACAACAATAACAACAGCCGTCCCATCACGAACAGAAGTGGCATTAGCAAGCGTCAGCCTCCACTTTGATAACAACAGGCGACCAAAGAGTATAAAAAACGAAAGCGAAAGGCAACAAACAAAAAAATAAAATAAATAAAAAAAAAAGAAAGAAGCAAGCAGCAAAAAAGTAAATAAATAAAAAATAAAATAAAATCGAAAGAAAATAAAAAAACAATTGCCGTAGAAAATTGTTTTCCCTGCCGTACATCAGCCCGCTCCGGCAACGGCAACGGCAACAGCAACGCCTTCGTCTCCATTTCCGCCTCCGGCAGCAAGTCGGCATACGGGTCTCGGGACAGCCGGTGTTGCTGGTTATTGATTCAGTTGACCGCCTGATCGATGCGCCATATGTCTGGCTAAAAGACGTCTGCCACAGCCACAGCCACATAGCCAGAGCCAGTTGGGCGCATGCCACAGGTTGCGACAGTTGCCCCGACTCGTATTGGAGTCCGCCTCACGGTTGAGTGATTGTGACTTTGTAGTGTGCCGCAGACACTGCTCGATACCGACAGATGACTTGCCAATCGATCGGGCTATTTAAGTAAATGAATGCTACCCCCGATTGCCATCTAACTGCAGACAGAGCTAGCGACCGAGGCTCCAGCCAGATTCCCAAATCAATACACTCAGCTAACCGGATGCGTCCCACTGCGCCCACAGCGAGAATGAGTCGTGCCACACGAAGCGTCCGCCTCCTGGCCAGCGCCTGTGTTCTGGGACTCCTAATCTTGTTGCCAGGTAAGTGGTCACAGATGATAACACTATATGATTATATTTCATGATTCGGAAGTGTTTATTGCGTTTGAGAGCAGATACTTTAAATTGAATTATTATTATTATTTTTTAATATTTAAAACATATTTTATAATAATTAAATACATGCTAAGATATCAACCAAAAATGGTTCCACAGTTGAATTTAAGCACAGGTTTCAAACGTATATAATTTGGGGAATTCTTATACTTTTTCATGCAAAATGGAATACCGTATAGAATATTTCTGATATATGTATGTGACAGAGTTTTTTTTGCTCTGTAACTCTTCTTGAACTAGTGAAATTTTTAGAGAAGAACAAGTCAGAGCGCGGTATCCGGTGCTCAACCAAGAAATAACTGTATTTTTTGAAAAGCTCGTCTCGGATGAACAGTTCAAATCATTCTGGCTCAAATTTCTATTACCGTAAATACTTGGATAGGCATGCAAAACCCAAATTTTACTAATTCTCTGTATTGATCATTGAAGCCCACGCAGTAAAATCGAAATCTTTAGTATTTGTGGATTGTTGATATGCTTAAAAAAAAACAAACGGATCGATATTATCGATAAGTGAGGTTATGAAACTAGCTATCGATAAAATGAGAAATTCAATAGAATTCGGTTATAAAGATTCCGCTCATAGCGTTTGTACGCTTATAGAGATGGAAATTCTGTTCCCCAGATAAACAAACTTCTACGGTTATAACGCCTTCCGGGTATAACGACGGTCCCTTGAATATCGCTATAACCGAATTCTACTGTACTTAAAAATTTCAAGACTGTTGCTCAGATACTTATTTCGAGGGGACAATGCGATAAAAGGACGTACATGACTAGATCCACTCAGTTCATCATCCTGCTCAAGCAGGAATATACTTAGGTGTGCTGCTACTCCTGCTTCTCATTGCTTTCGCATTTAATAGGAGGCTAGATCGACTCAACGCAGCATCTCGATCAAGCAGGAATATACCTTATGTGTGCTGCCACGCCTCCGGCTGCCTGCTGCAGATATTTTCCACTAAACTGTCATAGCTCAAATTTTAGTCTAACTTATTTAGCAACTACGAATAGAGCTCGAAAATTGGCATTTGGCAAGGCAGTTCAGGTAAAATATTTATTTGTGTTTTTGATGAACTTAATTGCTTAGTCCAATGGCAGTGGCAAATGCCAAATAATTGCATTTGGCAGTGCCGACTTATTAATTTTAATTAGCTGGCAAAAAGGCAATTATGCTTTTCAATTAACCAGCGAGTGAAATTGCAATAAATTCTATTAGCTCTTAATGGAAATACATAAATACATACGTACATGAGTATATATACATATGCATATATGTATATGTGTATATTATATATGTATATATACATTTAGCAGACTTGAGAGTTTTTCCTGATTGCTCTTTTTTGCTGTTGTTGTTGTTGTTGTGATAGCTGAATGCTGGCCCCCAGCTGGCTATTTTGGCTTGAAGCACAATGCGGCATGGCCTTAACAAATGTTTATTACGCATACACCGCGTGGCAACAAATTAAACATGACTCGCTTTGTGTTAATGCCTGGGGCGACTCGGTGCGCTGCTGCTGCTGCGGCTCCTGCTGCTGCTGCGACTCCTGCTGCTGCCACTCTCTGTCTATCTGTCCGTCTGTCTATCTGTCCAGCGCTGTTGCTGTAGCTGATGGCTGATGGGAACGTAAACGTGAATGTGAGTCTGCTGATTCTGACGACTGGCAATTTGTTTATTTGATTGCATTTTCTGCACTCACTCGGGCCAAGGGACAAGGGCAAAGGCACAAAGGTGGTTGGGTGGCTGGGTGGCTGTGTGGCTCGTGGGTGGTTGGGGTGGTTTGGTGCCGTCTGTTTGCCTGACTCTGCGCACAAATCAAAGTCAACTGCGGTAAGTGGAACGACAAATAAAGTGCAGCCGTTTTATGGTAGCAACTGCCTGCAAGTAGCCCTGGCTGCCCCACTGCCCCACCGCCCCACCGTCTCAGTGCCTGCTCCACGGCCCCACGCACACAATTGAGCATCGCTCAATGCTGACTGGCAAGCAAATTTTTTCGGCTGCTTTATGTTTAGATGCAAACGAACGGCAATTAGATTGATGAACATCGAACATCGAGCATCGAGGCTGAGCGACGCTGATTGCGGTGTCAGCAGAAATGCGAAACGCTCTCTCCGTCCAGCATAATGATGAGATTGATGGGCTACTAGTGTCTGGCAATAGATAGCATATACTTTGGCCAAGTTGCCTCATAAATTTATGATGCTCCAGCGCCGGAGGACAGCAGCTGCTACAGATAAATGATATGATGGCCGTAAGCAAGTACAAGTACAAGTAGTTTGCTAGCTTAATCCGGTTATTGTTATTGCCGCTCAGCCCTCCTCCTGGCCATCCTTCTGGCCATCGTCCTGGTCCATTTGCATAAGCTGCAACTCATACTTCATGCCACAGCGTTGATGCCCAAATGCCGCATTCTGCAGCAGAATTTGAACGTGGCTTCGGATTGCTCTTAGTTATGCATAAAACAAGTTTTGTGGCACGTTTCAATTCATTTTGCCTGAATGCTTTTGGGCAACTCAGCAGCTGCCCCTCCCCCTCCCCATCCCCATTCCCATTCCCATTCCTATTTCACTTGCCCCTCTTCCCTCTCAACCGCATCAAAAATCCTCCGAATTTTTTGGCTTGAGCCTGCTTGGAAATAATTCCTGTTTGCTTCAAGTATTTTTTTTTTCTCTCTCTCCTCTTTTTTGCATATTTTCCCTGTGTTTTCTTTCAGTTTTATGAATTTGTGCCACGCCCACGCCACCGTCGCCCACATGCAGGCCCGCATACACGTGTATGTTATTATATGAATTCCGAGCGGTGTTTTCTTTCTTTATTTTGTGTTTTTCTTTTGTCAACCCGGTTTTATCTACACCCTTGCACAAGAGAATTTTTTGGTTGCTCTCCCGCACCCGCTGCCCCCGCTCACTCACTCACTCACACATTCCCCACAGACTGACACACATAGCCACAGCCCGAACTACCTCCACATTCGCATTTAAAGTCGCATTCACATTCGGATTCTGGCGCCAGGTGCCAAACGCTGACCGCCTTCAATATGCATGCTAATTTCGGGCAGCCACTGACGTGGCCCAAAGTCCTGAACCCTGATCCGGTCTCCAGTTGCCACTCACCAGTCACCACTCGCCACTCGCCAGTCAGCAGTCTCCCATACCCCATACCCCTCACCCTTTACTCTTTCCTTTGTCCCCGTTCAGCGGTTGCCTCAATTTGATTTTAGGCATAAATATTCATGAATTGGTGTCTATGCGATTGCGATACGTTCGTGTGCGCCGTAACTGGAATATTTGCTGGCCAGCTCGCTGATAAAACAATGCAACAAATTCCCGCAATAACAAATTTCCATCGCAGCTCTAAGCCGCACCACATGCAGTGTTTGTCCATCGAACCGCCGGAACAGCGGACTCGACTGCACTTGGCTGGGTCATTCACCATGCTCGACTAGGGAATGCTCGCTCACAATGGAAGGCAATGCGTGGCAAAGCTATGTGAACTTTGCTGAATGTCCAGAGAGTCCTCTCTCTTAACAGTCGCTGAAATATGTCCTCTCCCTGCTTAACAGTCTCTGCAATACATTAGCTTTTCAATAACAGTTCACATAGTAATGTATACCAATACTTAACACACTGCATGCCTTCTTCAATGGCATGTTCATATTATATATAAAACTAATACAACCTTTTTCACACGGCCAGCGAGTATTACCCAATAATAATGCGAAACGAGTCTAGCCCAGCTTACAAGCCCTCAAAATTCAATTCAAATAATTGCATTTAGTCAACCAATAGCCATTTTATTTAGACAATTTCAATAACATTCGTCGTCGGGGTCGGTGCTCTGTGGGTATTCAAGTGCTTCAGTCAGCAGTTAGCGCTTGGCTTTGAGTGAGGCGCGCACATTTGATTCGAGCTCCTTGCGCACGCCCGGGGGCACCAGGAGCCTGGCCTTGGGTATTAGCAGCTTGCACATCTCCCTATAGGATGAGGGCTTCATGCCCAGCTCTTCCACGGCGTCGCGCGCCATAGCTCCCACCTCATCGTAAAAGCCGCAGTCTCGCAGACGCTTGGCCACCATTTGCTTTAGGTAATAGTTCGGATCCCTCTTCAAGCGGGTGGTTAGCGGCTCTTCCCTATGCACTGAATTCTTGCTGCTGCTGGATTCCATTATTTCGAAAAGTTAAAAAAAGAAATGAAATAAAAATAATAGTAAATTCTGAAAAAATTCGTATACAATCAATTCGAAGTGATTTCGAGAAGAGACTGAAGCAGACTGAGTTTAGTTTTGACTGAGTTCCTTTATTTTCAGGCGACTCTTTGACAGGAGTCGAAACTGAGCAAACAACGCAACAACGCTTTAATTGTCTTCATAATAAAAACAGAAAATTTTGTATTTGATTGCTCCAAAAGTTCTGCGCCTTCTATTTGGGCTTGGGTTCCATGAGGGAGCGCATGACTTCGTGCATATCGCGGAGTACGCGACTGGGCACCAGCATACGTGCCTTCGGCACTATCTCAGCGGCGATGTCCTCGTAGCTGACTTTGTTCACGCCGCGATCGTCGAGCAGGGCGCGTATCAAGTTGCGGATTTTTTTGCGCCAGCCGCACTCCTGGAGGCGCCGCTGGAGCTCCACCCTCAAGACTTTGGTGACTTCGCGAGTCAAATAGGGTCTCTCCATCTCCGAATCGGTGTAGGCGGAGAGCTCGCTGCTGTCATCCATGGTACCAGATCAGGCTTTATAATTCGGTCAACTGTTTAATGCAGGCTAACAACTCCGCTAGCAAATCAAAAGTAAATTTTTTTTTCTTAAATTCCCGTAGACAACTTGTCACTTCGCCGGTTTTCTCAAAAAGAAATTATGTCCACGTACATCGGGCTTGCCCTTATCGATATTCGACTAACCAGCTCTAGAGATGTTATGTTATATTACTCAAAAATCGACTGAAAGGCAAAAGCTTGCTTAGATTCTCCACGACCTCGACTTGACGTAGAGTCGTGTTAGCAATCGCCGAACGTCTCACTCTCGATGTGAGTTTTGGTCGGAGTTACTCAACACTGATTAGTTCCGACTACTGCATTTCTAGGCAACACTGTCTTTGAGTTTTCATATGTCTGTCGACTGTTTTCTTTTTTTTTTTTTCGTATGTTGATCTGTTTATCTATAGATAATACCTAAAGAATACTTTCCTTATCATACTTCCTTGTTATCGATAAGTATCGAATGACTTTATTGGCACAAGTTGATAACGATAGATGCAAATTTGTAAAATACGTCGATTCCTTTCTGGAATATTCTAAAGATGACATACATCTATATATACATATATGTATGTATGTATTCCGATATTAGTTAATACTAGGTGCGTAATAAGGTTTTTTCACTCGCTTATATTCCTAAAGTAGGCTCATTGAACTATACTTAGGGTATCTGCTAGTCATGCTGATCCCCGCCCCACCACTAAAGCCCACTTGTTCAGGCTGTGTGTGCGTGAGTGTGCCAAAATATTTGATTAAAAGCAATTAGCTCAATTGGTTATTGGCAACAAATGGCGCTAGTTGCGATAAATTGCATAAATTAGCACACATTATGTATACGCAATGTTGGCCGATTGCAGCTAGTGCAAATGACGCAGTGTTGCTGCTGCTGTTAATGTTGGGTACTCTGTGTGACAAGAGACAACAAGCGCTTTGGTTTTCGAATCAGGACATGAGCAAAGCAACATCAGCAGGCGGGATCTTGAATAGCAATAACAGTGCAAAGCCGTAAGCGTTGCGTGCGGCCACGCCCAGCCACTTAATGCCCGCCCAATTAATGCAGCTTAGCGGCTGTTGTTGCTGCTGCTTCTCATGCTGGTCCTGCTGTCAGCAGCAGCAGGAGCAGCAGCAGCAGCAGCAGGAGGAGCAAAAACGTTACTAACGCAACTTCATGGCGTGTTGCAATTAAGTATGACAAATTACTTGACAAGCGCCTCTGGATGCCGCAACAATGTTCAAGTTGCTCTCCATCGGCAACGCCTGGCTGCATCGCACTTCCTGTTGCTGTGGCAGCAGCAATGTTGCTGCCGTTGCTGTTGTTGCTGTTGTTGCTGTTGCTGCTGTTACTGCTGTTACTGTAGCTGCTGCTGCTTCTGCTGCTCCTGCTGCTCCTGCCATTGCTGTCAAAGTGCCTCGGGCGTTGATGCGTGTTTAGTTACTGACACTTGTCGGCCATGTGTCTGCCATGGCATCCATGCCTGCGCTTTATGCTCACGTTCTCTGATAATTTTCTAATGTAAGCCAATATCACGATTTAATTACAGCGCACTCGCTGCACCTGCCACACATTGCGTGGCAAATGAGTTGCGCCTGATGCGCATTTGATTAACTTCCTCTCTCGCTGCAGCAGCTAACAATGTTTGCTCTAATGTCAGCCGTTAGTTAGCCGATAATTAGCTGAAATTTCTGCGTTTCTTTGCTTGTTCGAATTAGGAAGCAGCCAGAGGGTGAAATTTCATCTCCACATGGCCTGAGTAAACTGTGGGTTACATTCTTGTCTTGAGGTCTTGGAATGTGTGTGATGGAAATATTTGCGTTTGACTAGCGTTAATGAAATTCAACATCAAACACGATAGCGCCCTACTTGAGTTAGTTAATCAAAGGCGAATCAGTGCTGATTAGTCGACTGGTTAGTCTGCTTCTTATAGAGGGAGACTAGAGTTAATGAAATTCAACATCAAATATATTAGCGCTATACACAGCTAATCAGAGCCGAGTCTGTCTTCAATAATCAACTGGTTACTCTACTTCTTATATAGTAAGACTCTCTCATCACTTGTTTGAGATCTGATATAACATCTCATTCTCTATCTATTTCTCTGACACAAACTCTAACTGTAACTATACCTTCAGTTTTCAAGGCAATCTTTATCTGAGTCTCAATCTCCAACTCAAATACATACTCTACAATAATCTCTATCTCAATCTGTATCTTAATTTCAGTCTCTGTCTTGTTCTCTACTCCTATCATAACATCTCTAACTCAATCTCTATTTTAATCTCAATCTCTACTGCTATCGTTATCTCTATATCTATTATTAACTCAATCTTTATCGCTATTCCAACCTCCGTTTCACCTCTATCGTAATTTCTATCTCCAACTCAGTGTAACTCACAACTCTCTCACTTTATTTCTCAATTGCTGCTTTGTATTACTTTTAATCGCAATTTCTAACTAATTCTTAATCTATTCCCCATTCTTATTCTCCATCATAGCTCATAACTCAATATCTATATCACTCTCACCCTCTAGCTCCATATTAAATTCAATCTTAATTAGAATCTCACTCTCAATCTCTAACTCAATATCTGAATCAATTTCAATCTCGCTAGCCCTCTCTATCTCAACTACAATATCCTTATCAATCTTAATCTCAATCTCAATCTCGATCTCTATATCAGTCTCAATCATAACCTCAACCTCAATCTCAGTCTCTACCAAAATATCTATCCTATCACTATCGTTGGCTCCTTTCGTTGGGCTCCTAAATGAAGCTAATGTAGAGCTCCTCTATAGATTATTCTACATACATATATAGACCGTATGCTATCCATTCTGAGGCATATCGAAAAACAATTTGATTTCATAGTGGATTCAAAATGAGATGTTTCTTGTATCTTTGTGCTTCCCTCAGTTTCATCGATAGCTTTTGTGCGAATGGCAGTGAGTAATCGATACTTTTTCAGCTTTACAACACTGCAAAGTGCTAGCAAATTGTAATTGATGGGGAACTGCTACGACTTTTGAGTGCATTGCAGACATCGAGTTGTTGTTGTTTGGCTGATATTTATTTCAAATTGGCAATTTAAGGACTTAGTTCAATTAACTAACAGCTAGGGAGTGCTGCTCGTGCATGCACTGCAGTAATAAGCAATTAGCGAGGTCTAATTAGCTAGCCAAATGTTCAATTATTCAGCTCAGCGCTGCCAAAAGCCACCGGGCATGGATACGGACGTGGACATGAATGGGCATGGGCACCGACATAGACATAGACATGGACATAGACATGGACATGAACATGGTCATGGAGATGGACATGGAATATGCTATGGAACTATTCCGGTCAGGTTCGGTGAAATATAAAAACCACTTTTGCCGCATTTCGCCCAGCGAATTGAGTTCAATGCTCAGTCGAGCCGAGAGCAATGAACCGAATGGCAGGCATCGCAGTTGGCACACACACACACACAGGGGGAGAAGGAGCGAAAAGAATGAGAATGAGAGAAAATGCCTGTATGCAGAGTGAGCTTTGGCTGAGCTGCTGCTAGTGTCGCCGTCGCAATGGACCGCTTCAATGTTTATGGGGAAGCCAAACGAATCTGCTGCTAACAAAACATGGCTAAGCAATGCGCCGCCCGCTGCCGCCTGTTTTCGGCAGCCACGCCTACATTTTGCCTATTGCAACGCGCTTGAATGGCCTGGGAGCGGCGAGCCGTTGCAGCTTGCCGTGGTAAATTTCAATTTGGCAAACGTGCGGCGCATTTTCCTTCAGCCTTATTTTTCTCTCATTCGCTTGTGTCTTTTCTTTCTTTCATTTTTATTTTTATTTTTTTTTTTTTTTTTGGCTGAAACTTTGAGCAGAAGTCGGGGCTGCCGACTGAAAAAATCAATGCGTTAGCAGCTCGGCTGTTGCACGTGCACCAGCAGGAGGAGGAGCGGGGAGCGGGGAGCGGGGAGCGGGGAGCGGGAGCGCGGAGCAGCNGCTTGCCGTGGTAAATTTCAATTTGGCAAACGTGCGGCGCATTTTCCTTCAGCCTTATTTTTCTCTCATTCGCTTGTGTCTTTTCTTTCTTTCATCTTCATTTTTATTTTTATTTTTTTTTTTTTTTTTTGGCTGAAACTTTGAGCAGAAGTCGGGGCTGGCGACTGCGTTATTCAATGCGTTAGCAGCTCGGCTGTTGCACGTGCACCAGCAGGAGGAGGAGCGGGGAGCGGGGAGCGGGGAGCGGGGAGCGGGAGCGCGGAGCAGCAGGATGAGCAGCAGCAGCATTCGTATCAGGGCGCGTTCCACGTTAGTGAATGCAATCATTTTGTTGTTTGTTTGCCGAGAAATGCAGCCGGACTTAGCTGACTTAGCAACGGGCCGCACTGCACTCGAGCCCAATGCGATGTCCTCGCAGCGGCATCATCAAATTTTGCAGTCAGGCGAATCTAGGCAGGCACTGGCTAAGTTTACATTTTACATTTGCCGTTTTGTTTTCTTGCTGCTCCCCCCTCCGCCCCCTTTCATACTCTGCTTTTTTTTTGCGCTCCCTTTTGAGGGATAGAGAGAATATTTGTCGGACGGCACGCGCGTGACACTAAAGCTTCCAACTAAGACCGCCTCTACAGCTGGTATCGATGCCGCTGCCGTTGCCGTTGTCGATGTCGATGTGGGCGCCCTTGCCCGGTGTTGCTCCACGGCCGAGGGGATATGTATTGCAGCATGCCTCTGGTAGCTATCAATGTCTGTAGACACACAGAGCGACAGAGGACACTGTGCAGAAATAAGTTTACTTAACAGAGCCGGTGCTTGCATATTGAAGCGCATTTGCTCTCAATGCTGCGCCATTACGAATAGTCCTGGTCTTATTAAAATCTTTTGATCCTTTGAGTGCAGTGGATCTGCTCGCCAGCTGTGTTTCAATACAAACGCCACTCGTCTCGTCCCCTCGGCACGCCACCCTGCTCTACAGCTGAGCATCTGTAGGGAGCAGATGTCTTAGAGAGCCATTGAATTGTGATAGGAATAGGTTGTCCTCCATCAAAAGTCTATGAATTTATTTCTCATATGTTAAAACTAATTGTAGTTAAAGATAAATTTAACTAAGCACTTGACC